CTCGATAGACAACGCTCGTCGCCGGTGTCTCTTCATTCTCACGTTTCTCTCGTCTCTCCGTTACGTCTCTCTCGCGTTAGACTTCCCCCGTCCTCACGGCTGTCCTTAGACAGTTTCACGTGTATAGCGAGACAAACGCCATCGACGATTGCCCGTAATCAGCCGTAAGTACGAAGCATCGGCCGGCAATTTCGTGTCCGCGCACGGGACGTAAGTGCGCCGATGAGTCACGAACGAAGCGTCGTCTACAGTGGCAGTAAGCGGTAAGAAGTAAGCGTGAGCGGTAAGAAATAAAGCAATCACAGTCGACTGCGACAAAAATAATCAACTGTGGTGGTTGGTCCATTTCTTTACTGCTTACTGCATATTGTAGACGACGCTTATGGGATACAGCGACGTGTCGTTTCGCGCGCTGGGAGAGACGGCGCGCTCCGGTTATAAATAATCACCGGCGACATTCGTCGCGATTGTTCGCGATTCGCCGGGAATGCGGAAGCGAACGCGGGGAAACGCCAGTTTTCAAACTCGTTGCTCACACAAGCGCGCGCGCGCGCGCGCGTCATTACTCAAGCGTTCTCGGCTCGCCGTAAATTATTTGACGCTGAGAATTGAATTTAGCGCTTGATGGGTGTAATCTAGCGAGGTATCTAACGACGACGAGTGCGGCGGCAGCTTTCTCGACTAACGTGTGCTGCTAAGTTTGGCGAATCCGGCGCGTTGAACTTGCGCGCGCGCGCGCGCGCGCTAACGATACGGGATGAGACCTCGGTGCGGGAACGAGCTTTCCGGTTCTTTTTCATTAACCCCAGGCGGCACTGAGGTTTCCAGAGGGGGCTTTCTTCGCGCTGGATACGCGCAAAGAAACCATTAGCCATCCTGTAATGGAGGTATTCAGCGGGTCAGCTTTGACCCCGCGAGTCGAGACCGGTACCGGTATTCGACTCGCTTGATTTACCCACGAAGATAGGTGCGCCGCGCGACAATATTCACCGGCTTCTTTCCGCGGGCGATGCAAGCTCCTCGGTCGATTCTCCAGTCCAGTTCTCTCGCTATTATATCTCCGCTCGTCACGAAGAGCGCGCGAGTGCGTTTCTTCGACGATCGCGAGCTCGCGCGACCAGATATTCTCTCACCGCATTAGGAGAAAAAATTTAGTATCTCTAACCAAACCGTTTAGTCGAGGCATTTTTTAATAGCAATCAAATACCTTGTCTTATACAACGAAATATTTAGTTGTCTCAACTAAATATATTTTTCTGCTTTGTTCTCTGGACCAAATATGATATTTTGTTCTTAGACTTCGTACATAAAAATTAAGCATTTTAGTTATCTTATCCATAAAAATTACATAATAACGAAGTATTATTTTACATAAACTAAAGTAATGCCCAATGGATACTGTTTTGTCAGTTTCTGTGCACTAAAATTTAGATTTTGTATATTAAGAATGAGTTATAGTATTTTTAACAAAATTCATGTAGTTGAAGCTTTTTGGTTGCTGTAACAAAAGTATTACGTTATTCGAACAAACCGTGATATCAAGCAAGATATTTGTTTGCAGGAGCTAAACAAGTTTTGTTGTCGGGCATATTTTAACCAAATTGTTTTGTTGTTGCAACAAAATTTTGGTCCACGCAACAATATATTTTTCCTAGTGCGGTGTGAACTTAGCGCTCAACTTTAAAAAATCAGAAAACCGTTTATACTACCCGTTTGTACCATATTTCGTTTCGTTCGCACCTAAAGGGTTAAAAAGTAATGAAGTAATGAAAAGTATTCTCTCTCGCGCTGTAACGTTACACGTTGTGAGAGTTTCGGTCGATTTTCAGTACACGCTCGTGATGAAGAGCCGAGATGTGTTCGTTAATGAATCGAGTGGCGATAAGAAAGTCGTAACACTTTTCATTCGATGAATTGAACAGAATAGAGATAAAAATGACCGAGTTTTATCCAAAAGAAACGTACCTGAACTTAATAATCCGTTTTTGCTACTCGTCGAGATACTCAAAATTCCGCGGTGTGTAAGGTTTACTTTCTTCATCCTTGTGAATGATTTACACAGTTAGTACCATCTAACTTTGAAAGTTGCACGCGAGATCCTCGAGGCTTCTTACCTGAGAAGTCGCTTACAGAGCGACTGCGAGTTATAAACCGCAACTTTGTAGTCGGCCGACCAACAGCATACTACTTTAGCATTAATATGCAATTTATGACAAAACTCTCGCAGTATCAAGCGAGCATTATCCCGTATGTATCGTTCCATTGGAGTGAAAAAGAAAAAACTACAGATATTCATATTTCCTACGATTATGGGACTTTTATCGTCTGGTTCACTGAGGAAATCGATGGACGCAGAAAGACGAGAGAGAGAGAGAGAGAGAGAGAGAGGGACAGTGAGGCGACGTGCTGTCTCGTTTGCATGCTCGATTAATTCCGTCCTGCGGAAGGATGCGCCGTTATTGGATCGCCTCAAGGGTTGTGGCATAAATTAACGGACGGTCCTTGTCGCTCGCGCCTCGTGGAACGCTCGCGCGAGGGTGCGTGCAATGTGCGCGTCGCCGGTGGAAGGCTGAAATTACGGACGACATGGGAAACAGAGGGAGAACGACAGCAAAGAGTCAAGGAGATGTTAAAGTTGGAGTCGACGGCCGACACTAAAATGCAGCTCCGGCGATAAGCCGGCGAGTCACGAGCGTTCCCTTTGAGGCTCGCTCGACGAGACGAGACGACTTTGGTGCTTTTTGCGTTTGAAATTTTTTCGCTCCCGCGATTCGAGACGAAAAGCTCTCGCGAGCTTTTCCGCCACAACAGATGAAATTGACAGCTGACGAGAAAAACTCGCTCGACGCGCTCCGCGTTTATTGGAAGAACGTAGGATCGAAGAGCCAGAGAGCCGAAATATCCGCACTTAAAGATACAAAGATGCCGATGAGAGGAAAGGTTCGAGGAAAGAGCTAAGGCTCGAATCTTACTTAGCAAAGCTCCCGGCCGAAGCTGAGTAAATACACCGAAATACACCGAACAGTAAAGATATCTCCGTGCGATCGAAAATCTGCCGAGTTGAGATTGAAGTATCCCGGACTGCTTATATAACTTACTTTTAGAATCCTCGCGCAATTCCATTGTCTCAAAATGTAATCAACAAGATTCAAGGAACCGACGACTCGAGGATAATTTCTTTTTCTCTCCGGTAATCGCGTGAAAGCAGACTCGACCCCCGGTTAATTAATTCGTGCTCACACCGTCAACCGGGTCAGTCATACGCACGCAAGTGGCGGTATTTTACGCCATTGTGCGTATATTTCGGCAGACAATTAGGGCCCCGCGTTGAATGGTAATTAATGTTTAATTGTAGCCGGGCTAACTCGCCTGTTACACGAATAACGGCCGATTCCCGTGGCCGTTACTACGGCAAACGTTGTGGAACGACCAGCCGACGATTCGTAACTTCCGCTCGGTGAGCGTACTTCCTCTTAAATTTCGAATCGATCAACCGCGTGTGACGGCAATATGTATCGGTCCCTTGCACAAGGTGATGTATGCCAGAGCGCGCGCGCGCCTTCCCCCCAGATTTGTCGTTCAAACATTCGTCACGTGCCGGGCCAGAAAGATTCGTCACGTTGAGAGATCGCGGGTATCGAGGCATCGAGTCGAGGCAGAAGATAACGCTGCTTTGTCGCTCAATACTCGCAACTCGTCGGGAATCTATATCGCGATATGCGTTCGCGCAACGGCGGCGGTAATTAGATCGCTGCTGAACACGGTGCCCCTGCCTTTTACGTCTCGTTTCATAACTTTCAGCGCGCTTTTAACGCCTCAGTGCTCCGTTACCTCGTCGCCTTATTATACGACGAGTTTGCGACCTGCTATAACAGATCGCTCGGCCATTACACGACGATGCATCCGACGGAGTCAACGATGCGTCTCGATCAATGGGCGTCGCGCGATCGCCGTCGATTGATTCCACCGAAGCGAGAGAGAGTTTGCTGTAGTTTATAATTCGCTTTATAACATCGCGCTACAGCGGCAGCTGAAACTCCTGCCACTTTTTAATTTCACTCGATGACCACTCGCTGACGAAGAAAAACGAAAAAAGAAAAAAAAAATCTTTTTTTTTCCCCCGGTTAAAATCCAGTCGCAGGATTACGCAAATTTTATACGAACTGCAATCGAGTCGGATTAACAATTTCACGTGGGAATTTAAATTGCAAAATTTAGTTGGCAGAAAAAGATCAACGAGCCTGGAATATTGCTCCGCGTGTGATGTAAATATTTTTTTTTTTACTAAAAGAGGTTAATTTAACTTGCGTATTTCGCGAGTGACTCCACCCCTGACGGAAGATTGGTCGATTCAAACGATAAATAATGGCGTTGCGTCAGCTGTGTGCTCGTTTCATTGGGCTGAATTGCGAGCTCGTTTTACACAAACGAAAGATTAAAAGAGCATCAATATCACCGCTGAGAAAATTAGGGCGGTCAGTTCGACCTGTGCGGGCCTGGAATTGAGTTCGTTTTAATCCGACTCGAATTGTTCAATATTTTTTTTTCTTTTTTAACAGAATGTACCGTAGATCGTTTCGCCGATCGATTTCTTCGCTCCGCGAAACATCCTGATATTTACTCTACGCGACGGCTTTAACGAAAGATAAACACGTTCGTGCTCTCCGGCGCGGCGAGGGATTTCCACGGAATCGAAGAAATTGCATTTCATCGCGGCAAGATGTCCCGGAGGCGAATCAGAAATTGCTCGATCGGTGTTTGCCCTCCTTTTCCGGCGGGCATCCGCACATTTTGCAGACGGACGACGCCTCGGCCCTCTCCACACGCGGCTCTCAATTAACTCTCTCGACAAATTGTCTGAAATTGAATTTTCGTTTCATCACGTTGGCCCGTGATTCGTCGGCGCTGCGATCGTTAAGTTTACCTGTGAAAGTGTTCTCGCGATGAAAAGTTTGTCATTTTCGGCATGCGGCATCGGGATATTATCGGGTGGCCGTCTCCGATTGTAAAAATCCATCATTGTTTTATTAACATTACATGAAAATCACTAAGCACACTCGTACTAATGCGGATTATTCTAAACGAATCTACTTTCACACTCTGCGATGAGAACTACAATCCGCAGTATACAAGTACAAGAATATGCAAAGGAAATAAATTGTCACCATTAAAAGATACACTTATCTGAAGATGAAGACTTACCAAAGTACGAAGTAAAAAAGCTCGATATCGAATAAAAACATTGCGAGTTTTGCCCTCGGAGGAGGGTGGTACGTGTGGAGGAAAAGATCTAACTAACGAGAGGACGGAGTTCGATGAGAGTTCGCTCGGCTGTGTGGAAAATTATGCGTGCGACGTGTCACAGTGTATATGATAAATAGATCATGAAAAATTACTACGGTCAATCGGCTCGTTGCTTCGTGGTGACGCGGTGCTAATCGATGGGCGAAGCGAGCGTCATGCCCGTAATAGCAAGCTGGTACTAATAATAAGCCGGAGACGAAAATGTGCCTTCGAACGGTGCGCTGTCGTAGGTCAAGGTGGGACTGTAGTAATAAGTCTGCGGTTCAGCAACGTATCTCGTATCCATCGGGCTGTCGTAGGTGCTTAGAAATTGAGGTGTTTGCGGTATACCCGGCGAGGTCTGAACGTCGTCGTTCGTCGTCGGATTGCTTTGAGTGCCGCTGCTCGTGTAAGTCGCGTAGTAATTCGGATCGGTCAGGTACGTCAACACGATCGGCTCGTACGCATGCTGCACTTCTGACGGAGCAACGTTGTAGAAGGTCGAATATTCGGGGGGGTAGCTCGCGAGGTTGCAAGGAGTTGCGATTCTATAGCCGCTGTCAAAATTGGATAGCTTCGATCGTTCCCTGCTCCTGATGCGTGATTTCTGCAAACGGAGGGAAGAAAGAGACATTGATTAAATTGTTGATAAAATTAGAATCCAAAAGTATTCATTATATCGTATCATTATATCGTGGTTTTTTAATATGCGAGAGAACTGGACCTGACTTGGTTTTGTTGTTTGTCTCGTAAGAATTAATTAACGAAAAACTGGCGGAGAATTAACAAGAAAGCCACTCCACATGCTCGCAGAGTAGAAATTACTTTGGCTCTGGAGACTCACCAGCAACGACTTCTTATCCGGCACTTGATACGCGTACTGCTGATACAGCGGCTCAAATTGCCATGACGCATGATGACTCAGCCTGGGATCGGGGAGGTTCCTCGTCGCGTGATAGAAATTCGGCCGATTCCACGTTCCATATCGCGCCGGTGTAAAAATCCCTGGCGACGCGATTGGCCAGTTAATCTCTTTTCCGCCTATTGTCTCATAGTAATAGTTACGAGGAGCGCCGACCGATGCCGACTGTTCGTCCGATGCCTTGGCCGACGGCGAAATCGCTGGCGAAGGATTCGAGGATTGCTTTGGATCCGTGGGAGGCATTTGATTCTGCTGTTGATTTTTGCTATTATCTCCGTTCTGTCCGATTTCTTGCAGAACTGCCGATGCCGTCTTCGGCACTGTAGCGAGATTCGCTGTGGACGGGTCGCTCTCGGCAGGTTTTGTTCGAATACTTGCTTTGATCAGATTTGAGGCAGAGTTGAGTTGACGAGAGTTGCGATATATATTTTGTGGACGCAGGTTGAATAAAAATGTGGTAGGCTGATCGTTCTTGCTCTGACTCTTCTCCTCCGAATGTTCATCTGCAATTATTATCAAGTAGCTTATTTTGAGAACCGATGCATCGTCGACTCGGCTCGCGTTCGAGGTGTCTCGTTGAATTTCGCGTCCTTCGAAGCTGCAGCCACAACGCTGCTTTCGCGAAGATGCTTTGCATCGAGCGCATCATTCTTCAGAAATACTCACTGTTAGTACCGACAGGCTCGTTTTCCCGAAGACGCGAGTCGAAAGCCGTAGAATATTTCGTGGTCACTAGGGACGGCTCCGTGGCCACACCATCGTCATGTTTAACGACGGAAGGTTTGCCGATTTTCTCCATCGCGAATCTTCTAAATCGGTGGTGTCCTATCTAAGAGAACGTCATACTTGCGAGAAATTGCGAATAAAGAGTCGAGTAAAATCGGTGCGTCACACGAGATGCGTTGACGTCAGAATAATAATGGATAAAAATATTCACCACGGGTTGCGGGTGGCGGACAAATATCGACGGCTGGACGTATCCGTGACCTCCTATCTTCGCGTAATGCAGCTGATGCGGTAACACGTAGGGGTAGTGATGACGATACGCGGGATGATATCTCGTGAAATGTGACCGCCCATAGTTTGGATATCCGTAGTAAGGATAAACCGCGTGAATTCCCTTAAGATGTTGCTGGTCCGTTGTTAATTGATTCGCGTAATATTGTTCAGTTGGAAGTGGCGGTTGCTGCTGCGGGCCAGCAGGCTGATATGCTGATGTGGAATGGTGTCGTTTATTGTCGTAACGATAGCCAGGCTGAACGAGGACGTCGGCGAGTACGGTACTCGCCGACAAAATCGTCGCCGCTAGAAACTGAAACAATTGAGCGAACTCTGTGCGAGCTATTCTCGAATAACAGATACGGTTCGATTCGCGGAAATTCATCCCCGAAATTCCACGTGAATATCCCTCGTTGCTCTTTCTTTACGGGCACCTGCGCACTTATCGATAAAATATACAAAAATTCGATTCAGAGAAGAAGGAGTGTCAGAAACAATATCGTGCAATCTTGTGTTACGTGAAATTATTTTTTTAAAGAGCTTTCTCAGCCAGTGTTAACGCGCGCGCGTGTTAAGTAGTTTAGTCGTTCAGACACATGCTAATCCGGGAGATCGAATTCTTTTCTTACAAGAATGTAAGAATTAAAAAAAAACTGGAAATACGTGTGTTATAATAGATTCCACTTACTACTCCTCGATACGCGAGCATCGCGATTTCTCCTATTGCTCTTGCTCCGGTCCGATCGAGACTGATACGAGTCGCTCGTCGCGAGGCGACAAATTAACTCCCGAAATCGCTGATGCCAGGAGTTTCGTGCGCCGTCCGCGATTCGCGACTAGCTGGCATAATTGCTGGCGGCTATTGCGAAACCGTTCGTAGCGAAAATCCAATTGTCATCAAATGTTTCTCCAACGGATACAAAGTTATCCGTTCAGGGCTTCCGGAGTGGAGTATTGTCGAGGCTGCGATTGTTGCTTCGAAAGTATGTTTCGCGTATGCCCGCGGGCGGTTTCAAAAGTTATCTCTCTGAATGTGCCGCGATATGTTTCTTCAGCGGGTGTTCGTCGTTCAGCGTTCGTCCTCGATCGAACGATCGGTAGGGACGATTTCTCGACGGACGCTTCCATTTGTAAGAAAAATTTGCGCGCGATCGCGAGACTCGCGGAATAACGATATGCACGGGATATGGAATGGCGCGAAAATGAGTTTCCTCACGGAAGCTCGGTGCGTTTCGGGGCCAATATGTCCGCAGACGTGCACTGATTAACGCGTAAGTGGGTGGCTACGTGCCGACGTAGACCTCTTCCGCTGGCGAGCCGTTCTCCGAATACAAATATTACCGCGTCGTCCGCCGTGATTTAGCGAGTAGAAATTGAAAACGACGGGCGAAAATCGGGCGAGCGGACGTTTCGCGATAACCAGTTATTAAAAATACCGATACCTGCCGATATTCAAACTTGCAATCGTTAGTGCAATTGTTAGAATGCGTACGTGCGAACTGTTGTATTTCCACGATGTGTAATACCAGCGCGGATGCAGTTGTCAGCTGGTACGCGTTGACTACGCGTTAACTACGCGCCATCGTTACATTTATCGCATTAATCAAGCAGTATCTGCAAAGTTCTAGCCTAACATAACTTGTAGCTGTTAATGCTCGCGCCATAATTTCTCGCTGTTTCCCGCTCCTACCCGCCCTTCTTGTAGCCCCCTCCGCCCCCCCCCCCCTCCCTTGAGCAATAACTTCGGTCGGTCGACGGTGGAATTTCGTAGATGTAGTATCCCGTAAATTGGCGACCCTTGAGATCCGCGGAAAGTAACAAGAGTCGTAATTCGTTCTGTGCTCTGTTCTATAATTCGTCATAGGTTGCGTATTCGGTACGTGATGCCGGCGGCGCACCTGACGCTGCGCGAGGAGGACGTGGTGCGACTGACCTTGGAGTTCCTCCACAGCCGTGACCTTCACATCTCGCAGCTCTCGCTGGAGCGCGAGACCGGGGTGATAAATGGTCAGTACAGCGACGACGTGCTCTTCCTGCGTCAGCTGATCCTCGACGGGCAATGGGACGATGTGCTGGAGTTCATCCAGCCCTTGGAGGCGCTCTCGGACTTCGATATGAGGAAGTTCACGTACTCGATCCTGCGACACAAGTACGTCGAGCTGCTGTGCATCAAGTCCGAGGCGAACGTTATCGCCGCCAGCACGAACAACAGCGTGGACAACGCCGTGGAGGAGGTGGTCAAGGTGTTGAGCGACCTTGAGAAGGTCGCTCCTTCCAAAGAGGAATACAGCAGCCTGTGCCTGTTGCTCACTCTGCCGCGGCTGACGGATCACCTGCAGTACAAGGACTGGAACCCCAGCAACGCCAGGGTGCAATGCTTCCGAGAGGTGCATCCCTTGGTGGAGAAGTTCCTGCCGGGTGACAGGAAGGGCATTGACTCCGCGCATCCGGTCACCTCCGCGAAGAACGATCGGCTCATTCAGCTCATCATCAAGGGCATTTTGTACGAGTCCTGCGTTAACTACTGCCAAGCGAAAGCCACCGGCTCGAAAGAGAGCGAACAGGTAATTATCTCGTCTATAATCTACGTTTTATCGTACATTGATCGGGTTTTCATCAACAGAGTTATAGTTTTCTCTCTCACAGTTATATAACTATAAACATACTTTTGTATATATTATATAATTAAACGTATAATATTTGAATAACAGAGTTACATGTCGGGAGAGAATTACAAGTTAAATATTTAGTTTATAGAAATCCATCAATTTACTGGGAATTATAAATTAATGTCATATTAATTTATAGTGTACGTTGAAACATTGCACACGCACGAAATGTATTACGCGGAAATCGCAATGACTTTTGCTCCTTACACGTAGATGCAAGTTATAGAATAACCCGAGAGAGAGAGAGAAAGAGGGGGGAGGGGGGAGAGAGAGAGAGAGAGAGAGAGAGACGCTTTATTTATAAAATATATTTTATCACACACACATTAAATTTTTCCACCTGATTTTAATCGTCCCGTTCCGCGCGCGCTTTCATGTTGCAGGTAGAGATGAGTTTCTCGAGGTTGCTAGACGGATCGGTAGGTTTCAGCGATTCCGACCTGAGTTTGCTCTCGTGGCTTCAGAGCATACCCCCTGAGACATTCGCAGTGCCGTTCGCGCAAAGAACCTTGAACGTCGACGTAGAACGTCTCGAGAGGCCCTCCTTGGAGACCTCGTGGACGGAGCACATGCTCATAACCCCGATCAAACCGAAAACCTTTCCGCACAGCGCCATGCCGTTTACCAGGCCGAGATCTGCCGCGGACATGATGTCCCGCAGTTTAGTGCCAGCTTTAGAAGCTGGCCTCGGGCCGAGGAGTCCCGGACCCAAGAACACGATCATACCATCCGCGGCGCTGATGGCGCTCTCTACCGGCGACATAAACCCCATGTCCAGGTCGTCCTTCGCTAGCTTCCACTTGATCGGTTTCAAGAATAACAAACTGATGAACACCAGCGTCGATAGGCTCTTCGAGAATGAGGGTGACGTCTTCCTGAGCTCGAATTACGCCGAGTTCCAACAGCTACCATCGATACAAGAGACCGCGACGAATGCTCAACCCAAAGTCCCACCGAGGACGAGAGGGCATTCCAAAAGTCCCGATGGTGAGTTTCTAAAGTACGTTATACCGTGGAATTTGCAGATTTCCAAGTATTTTAAATTATTCGACTGGACGGACATGTATATCGTAGAGATTCTTGGAAGAATTTTTCTTTTCTTATTGTATTGTAATGACATGTTATTTAACATGCTGCTGACACACACACACACACACACACACACACAATCTATACATGAATGTTATTTAAATTCATTTGACTTTGCTTAACGTCACTTTTCTCTCGATATTTTCCCGCGTAAAATATTCCCGAATGATTTCAAGAATAACGCGCGTAATTCTCATAATAGGTGCTGACATAGACCCTTCAGCGACATCCACGCCAGAACGCAGAGTGGCTGGCAGAGAATCGCCGGCGCCCTCGACCGCCAGGAGTTCCAGAAGAGACTCTTTGGCGGAAAAGCCCACAGGAGTCGCGGCCAAAATTACAGAGCCAACTGCGATTCCGGTTAGAGCGACTGCGCCCGGAGACCACCTCGAACAAAGTTACAACGGTGGTCTGTTTAAGGAGTACCAGAAGCAGAAACAGAGGTTGCAGGAGACCATTCAGCAGAAGGAAAGGGAGAGGGACGAATTAGTCAGACAACTAGCGGCACCGTTACCCGTGCAAGTAGCCGATAATAGACTGCAGGGAGAAGGGTGAGTGATTTTTTTTTGTCAACTTGTCATTTAGAACATATTCGTAGAGAGGAAGTCACACTTTAGACTTAACATTCGTGATTTGTCGACTACTAGAGCAATAAATATATCTTTTAACCAATGGGACGTTGAAAGATAAGACAGTGAGACGAAAGAGTGATGAGGCGTATTTAAAATATGATTCCGCGGAAAATTATCACAATGCAAAATGGTTTTACGTACGTTCGCATGATTCGCGCCTGCCGTAGACAATCATCGTGGCTATCTCGGTAAAATAACTCCGCTGCACCGAATGCACTGAATCAGAGAGGTGCAGCCCGTTGCATTCTCCAACAGATGGCGATAGCGGAACGCCTTTTGTCGAGTTTATTGTGGTAAAACGCGCGCCGAGAATAGTAGCTTAGAACAACAACGTGGCGCCGACCGAAATAGCGATACTCTCCGACGCGAACCAATGAAAAAGAAAATTCGATTATTTTACTCGCCTGACATTGACTTTCAAAGCCCTTTCGACGGGGAAATCACTTTAGTTTCGCGGATTTCTTGTGCTTCGTAAATGCGATTGTGTATTTTAAAACGTATCACACACACACACACACACACACACAATTTGGGATAAAACAGAGTTTATCCATTCCGGAGTTCATCACATGTGTTTCTGCTAATATTATATTCATTACAATATTTGTAACTCTTCAACATTCTAAGCGATACTTTTCTAGAGCATACGACAAGCATGCATGTTTGTTTTCAAGTCTTTTAGGCGTAACAAATTTATAGTTATATCATGCAAATTTTGCGATTTCCTTGAAAAAAAGAAAAAAAATAGAACGGTCCGATAATTATTTTCAGCAATAAATAAATTTATTTTACACGCTAATGTATTCAACGCGCAAGAAATAATTGTTACATACGTTCATTGATATCCGTGTCATTTCGTGATTGAGGTAACCTTCGAGAAAACGAGCGAGTGTAACTCGCTGAGAGACCGGCCTCACAATCGAAACTGGAAATCGATCACGGTTCATTGGCATCGAGCACTGACATTGTACCAGGACCGGATACAGGATGTACAGTCAGATTTAGTGCGCACGCTCGTGACAGAATCGTGACCGCACATTCCCTCCACCGTTGGTTCTGTCGCATCCCATGATTCACGCGCATAACTTTGCCATACATACTTATGGTCGCATTGTCTCAATCACGCGCGTGACTGTATCCCGCGGAGTACGTGGAGTGTGCAAATTTTGCACATTTATTCCACGATTGAACGTATCACGCGTATCATCATATTTACGCGAAATGGAAATTTGAATTTCTGACACAACATCATGTTTTCACGTGACAACGTGAAAACATGACGGCGCGCGGCAAAAAAGAAGTCAAATAATTTGCAATAATCCAAATTTGGAATTTCGAAAATAATTGTACACTTAAATCCATCGTTTATAATTTGGGATTTAAGTTTCGAAAGTATGAATGACGAAATTTTCTACCGTCCACTGCTGCGTCCAAATCTCTGGCTAATTTATAATATATGAATACGTTACGGAGTATATTTTCAGAATAATAAGAATTTCATCGTATTTGCTTAGATAGCGCTTTTAATGATAACATAGACACATTTTCATGAATACGCTAACGAGACTGGTTACCTCGACGTTTTCGAGGAATGAGTCGAGAAATTAACTCGCTCCAAAGGAGCTTCGAGTGTCTGGCAGTTCGTTAGCAGCGAAATATGGCAGCGTATTTAGACGGCGAGTCTTGCTTTTCGCCGTCGATGAGATGGAGACCAAACGAGAACTCTTGATCGTTCAACGAGTTCAATAAACGCGGTTATTCTTGATGATTTGCTGAATTTAACGCTTCTTTCACCCTCTTTCTTTTCTTTTATATATATTTACATATTGTATATATATGCACTTGATTGAATGTTTGAAAAGTTTCAAATTATTACACGAATCAACGGAGAAGTAGTTGTGTCTATTATTACATCTCTTTTTAAATGAAACCGTCCATTTATCAGATATATAAAAAATATATATTAAAGAAACAGAAAAAAAAACAAATTATCATATGGGGTAACATGGCCATAATGTTGCTTTTTTATGCGGGATATTTAATTATTTTATTCTCACGAATGTGCGATTGCGTTTGCGACCGAGCGTTATCACGCGTGACTATCGCGCGTACTTTTACTATCGATTGCCCACAAACATGTAACGTCGTCCAAAATTCTGCACAGCCGTCAAGAGAGGAGTCGGCCGCTGCCACGGCCTTGACTCGATCGAATCGGTAACGTGTTGATACCAAAGATGGAACTTCAGATTCTCTTGACATCGGGGACTCGTTCGTAGTAACGCAGCCACCTACTTGCTCGTATACGGCGAGATGCAGCGCGTAATTGGAACGCGCGAGCCGATCGTCATTGGTAACAAACGAGGCTTTGTTGAAACATCATCCGAATACGAAGTAATCGCGAAATGGTCTCCGTCTATCTCTCTCTCTCTCTCTCTCTCTCTCTCCCTCTCTCTCTCTCTTTTTCTCCTCTTTCCCACCCTCTCCGCTCGTTGAATCAAACAGCTTCGTTAACATCAAACGCTCCACACGTGCGGCAAAAAAACGAGTAAGATAACCGTTTCAATTAATTCGTACCATATCGTCGTGAGTTTAGTTATTATGCAAATGCAATGCTCGGGAGTGGTTGAAAAGAGTCAGTCAGACAGCGCGCGCGCAACGGCATACTCGATAACAATCGTAAAACAGACGCGAGATAAGACGTACTCAAGACAATTATGAGCGAGATCGCGAGCGGCATAATTGGAAATATCCTGTGATCATCGAGACGGGAAACTCTGAATAAACAGCGCAGCGAAACGCCCGCGCCCCGTTCTGAGAGCCGACGATGAGAGGCGAATGATTATTAAAAGAATCCGAAACAAATGCGTTCGTTTGCTAGCCATCGGCGGAGATTATCGCCGATAGTAACGATTTCACGGCTTGAAATTCATCGCGCTGATATTGCACACAGTCGATTATCTCGTGCCGATCTCAGAGAGGTGCTCACCTCTCTCCGAGAGCTCAAGGTTCGCTGATCTTTTCTGCTTCTTTTTTCTCAGTGCCGTGTAATAACACGTCGCGGCCGCGCGGATATCCGGCGATAATGGCGCAATATCGCGGCGTTATTGATACAAATTCCGTATCCGCGTACGCGCGCACAGCTGCTGCGCTTCGAAACCAGAGTCGGTCGTGAAAGTTCGCGCCCGATCGCGGCGAATCGCGGAGAGGAGGACCGTGAAGAGGCAGGAGGAAATGCGCGCGCGTAGATCGTTACGATGGAATTATTTAATGCACCGATGCCGTGTTAGGTATTTTGTAATAATTATCAACGTCGGCGGTTAGGTTCGATACGCGGGGCGGCGCGGCTTAAGAAAGCAGAACGGAGGATTCCTTTGTCGGCGTGGCTGAACGCAGCTTGGAAAATCCATAGAAATTCGCATTCGTTGTCGGTGGTTGTAAGGCAGAAAGTGTGGCGATACGTGCAAGCTGTTGTGAAATTGAGTATAACTCGCCACGTATTTCTCGTGTATCACTTCAGCCGTGCGAAATAACTGCGAGAGACGCCTCTGTCTCTCTCTCTCTCTCTCTCTCTCTCTCTCTCTCTCTCTCTCTCTCTCTCTCTCTCGCGCGGCGCGGAACATCTGGCGGATGTTCCTCGTGGTGATTCCCCCGAAAGCGATCGCTCGCATGCGAATCGTGCACGCGTTCTGCGTTGCCTCGCACAAAACGAAAGTTTCGTTTGATTCGCCACCTCGACCTCGAGAATATCGGAAATCTCGTGATCTCTATTTCTGCGCCCTTCGAAGGAAATTCCATTTCGCCGCGTATTCTTTTCTTTATCGGCTGTTAGCAAACCTGTGTTTGTCACGTCACGTTTCTCGCGACTGCAGATCCAGAAGAGAGTATCATTCTACCGCTAATAAAAACGCGACTACTCAGTTTATTCTTCTTCTTTCTTTCGAGTGTTCATGTTTCTCTTCCAGTAAGGATATTCTCTCGATAATAGTCATGAAGATGCTCGTCACGAATTTTAGAAAGGCATCGTGGATATTATCGCGAGCTGAAAGGAATTTAAATTTTTTTTCAAAAATATTACAAGACTCCTACGTCGCTCTGTACGTAAGATTCACCCGTCAAAAACACGAGCGTAATCTCGCGTTCGGCGATGCATACAATTGCAGCCAATGCTTCGCTCCGTTATTTATCGCATTTAACTCCGTCAGAAGGAAACGACCGCGAGACGCGTGAGTGAATGGAATTTCCTGCGCGACCTTATTATCTAACTGTAACACTTGCTGCGTCACAATATTTCCGTCCGCCTAATCTTTCACCGCGATTCTGCCTGCTGCGCGAACTTTCCATTTATCAAAATTCATTGCACCACGAAGGAGAGCGGGTGATGTCGACACGCTGCTTACTTCCTTAAGAGCAGACCGCGTTTTTCCCGTCGATGGCCGCCTTATTCTGCTTATCTACGAGCATCCGAGAGCTTCCCAAGTGTTCGCAAAACTTTCTACGCGAGATACCACGGAGGAATCCGCCAGTGATGGATTCATCGAGAATCTCTCACTCTATTCACACACACACACACACACATATATATATATACTCGCGTAAATAAATTCCAAACGTGCGAAGGAAATCTCGATTCGCCGTTTACTCCGTCTCTTGTTACCCGCGGACAGAAATTCTCTCGGATTTGGAAGGAGCGTCTCTTGGATAGAGCCAAGAGGAGCATTTCCAAGTTTTCCTCAAGGTGACCAGACCGTACAACCTACATACGCATCTACATACATTTCTTATATGCGTAGTCCCTGTTGCGTGTGCGGTTTACCGTCGTCCATCATCGGTATGCAGATATTCGAGACACCCGCGAGATTTTCCGAGACTTCGGGGGAGGACTTTCGGTTTCCTCGAGGCGATCCTCGAGGCGAATCGAATTTCCATACAATCGATTCGCTCGGAGATCACTCGCGGGGAGGACTCGCGCAGATCCGCGAGAATCGCGCGCTGCGCATCGCGGCTGCGCGCGCGCGCGCGCGCGCGCGCTCCCGACAGCTGATCGCCGCGCGTGCAGGCTGGGAATCAAAGCAGCCTCTGATAGGTTCGCGATACGCTTTGTTATTACGAACGGACTCGGTCGAGCCTAATGCCGCTGCCAGGCGAATCGTAAGTGCGGCCACCACCGCCGCCGCCGCCGTTGCCGCCGCCGCCGCCGCCGCCGCCGCCGCCGCCGCCTCCTCCACCACCGCCGCTGCCGTCGTGCTTTTGCTCCCTCGATACTCCACGTTGAGTCTCCTCGTCGGCAGTATCGGTACCGCGTGCAGTTGCAACTATACGCGGCGACCTACCGCTCTCTCGAGCGCAACAAGACGAGAGCGCGGATTCTGCGGCTTCCCAGGCGGTGGTCAAGTCGCCGCCGCGCGATTCGCGTCCGGAGTGCGTTCCTCCGATTTCGTCAGCGTCTCGACGACCTCGCGACGCGACCATCCGCACCTCGAGGACGCTTCCATCCCGTCCGAAGCCCCGTTCGCGTGACGAGGAGGATGTGAGAGAAGACGCGATCAGGACGCGCACGGGAGCATGATTTATCACAAACCGACGACGCCGCGATTCCGCATCGCCGAGCGGATCAGCGTGCAGCCCGGCAGCAATCGGCCGACTTACAATAAGCAGAACAGTCACAGCAGCACGTGCAGCCTCAGGAGCGTTGGTTCCACGCCGCCGTGCATAAGCCGGTAAATACCGCGAGGGTTTGCTCACGAGCTCGTATCGCTCGTACATTTGTCGAGGTGCGCGCGCGCGTCGCCTTCTTTGTCGAAGCTTGATCGAAGCGTTATCGGATACCTAAAGAGCCCCAATGGGCTCTTAACTTGAGGAGTCGACGATATATAGCTCGGAGGATATAGCTCTTAAAAGCGTGTCGAGAAATCCCGTCGCGAGTCTGCCTATTTTTGTGTAAATTAAAAAAAATTCTCTCCCCGAGAGAGATCTGCGCGATCACACGATACTGATCGAGTAGAGCGCTCTCGTGGCCGATTTTTAATGGCAGGCGTCATGAAATGTGGGCTTTCAAGCCTTCTTTCGGACATTGCAATTCGCCTCTGGATGTTCGTTACGGTCGACGGGTAATTAAGAGAGACGGCGCCGTTATAATATTATTATAGCGACTGAAAACGCCGCGAGATTCTACCGCGAGAGCCGCGATTCAATCGCGCAGCGTCTTGAAGACGCGACGCGCGCTGCTGTTGCTGCCGCGCAACCGGGTGCTCATGTCGCATCGGGAAACGTTAGCTCGATTGAGAACGCAGCACGCGCCGTGATGCAGCGTGATTTTGTATAACGGTAACGAAAACTGAGACGTCGCGCGCCGATCGGCTCGAGATTGTTTTAGCGATTCAGGAAATGTCAGGTAGATCGTTCGTGATCGGCTAGACAATGGCGGAAAGAACCGCGTTACTTTGAGCCAGCACGGTCGAACGGTGAAATGTATCTCCTGAGGATCAGCGAAAGATTGAATTCTTCTGTCGGCGTTGGCGAAGGCGTTGGAAAGAAAGACGCGTTGCAAAATGGGGAGAAATGGGGAAAAGCGACAATCACGTCACGCGCGCCACAATTAACTGTGCGAGCGAGCGAATGGCTCGCTTTCGAGCGAGGTCGACGATTCCGTCTGCTAGCTAGAACGCGACAGTGTGACATTTTGAGGAAATTAATCGACGGGAATCGCCGATCTTTTTCACCGCCGAGTCTCCCGGCAAAGTGAGTAATAACGCGTCCGACAGTTTCACACGCTGCTTATGCATACGGTGCGTCGTTTAAGAAATGACACCTAATCTGTCGTGCACGCGTCGCTGGACAGTGCGAGTCTAAGTTCGAGGAGGTCAGGAGACGTCGCGATGTCTCGTCGATTCCTCGTCGTGTTGGAACTCGGAGGACAACGACGCGGACTCCGGTAAATTGCATCCCGCTTGAAAAATTACTGGGGTCGGAGAGGGTCTCGCGCGACTTCTCCGACTTCTTCTTCCTCTTCGTTTCCGCTTAAGGTATGAAAATCGCGGTCACGGCTAATTCCCAGGCTCGTTCTTTTAAAAGTGGAGAAGAATAGATGCTTCGCATCATGGACAGGATGCGGTGAATTATCGCCGATAATTATCCACCGAATATATTTGTACACTTGATAGAGCAGGAAAAAAAAATGAGTCCAATGTTATTAACAAAGTTTATGTTTACCAACAAAGCATTTATCTCAGCTGATAATCTCAGCAAATTATCGTGCTAAATAATTCGTATTACTTAACGCGATAATTACTGAACAAATACATGAGAAAAAAATTTATAATATTTTAGGTACGAACTTCCGCGCGATGAAATTTGCTTGCACTTATTTATTCAACTATTTATTCGACAAGTCACTCGACTTTGTTTCTTCTGAAAGACAAGCACGAGTTCTCGAATTCTTTTGTTCCCGTTTCTCGAAACTGGAAATATGTCTTATAAATCATTACACGTAGCATCGATTACGTGGTCGTCGCGCATGTAACGCGCGATTATTGACTGGATTTATGCTGGAGTCAGCTTAACATTGATTGTGACTGATTTATTGCTGAAAACGTGTCGACGGCAAAATGTGCGGATTAAAATAAGCAGCAGACACGATCGTGACAGTTCCACTCGTAAATGTCTGTATTATTTAGCAGAAGAAGAATTTGTAGAGTCGTGTGACGAAATCTGATTGCTGCTTGAGGTGGAGATAGAGAGAAAGAATTATCTATCGCCCCCCCCCCCCCGTTCGTTCGCAGGATAAAGCAGCCTTTGGGGAGCAAAGGACCTTCGCCCGTTCACACGAATACACCTGCCCGGTCTGGTATCCAGTCGCCGAAGCCCACGATTAACGGATCGGATCTAGTCGCGTAAGTTCTCTCACGCCGTGTGATGTAAACAAAAATCACGATGGTTGCGCGAAAATCTATGGCTCTGTCGGAGGCGGATTGCGTTACTTAACACCGGTAATTTGATATCGGTAATGTTTAGCGTCGGGGGAATCGCTTTCCTTCCGGCCACCTCGGCATTACATTTCCTACGGCTCTTTTCAAACCATTCCGTATCTATAGATCGGAATCTTTCAGGCTGACGAATAGGCCAAACTTTCGTTTTCTTTTTAAAGGCTTGCACTTGTGCGCTTGTGTTATTAACGTCCTAATGTTCCAACGCTTTATTTGCGAAATCATTTCGTAAGAAATCTAACTCGTTAAATTGTTTTTCTTTTTTTCTTTTTTTTTTCAAAATAAATCCAATTTTGCGAATTTGTCGACATTAATGACTTCGTTCGCTGCGACACGAGTCCATCATCTGAATCGGTCGTCTTGTTGCAGAAGGCAAAATTCAGTGCCAGGCGGTGTCTATGATTCGAGGATACCGGAAGGACACTACGACGTTGTCAAGCTGAAGGTGAGTCAGTTGTTGGATTCTGTATCGTGTTACCTTTGACATCACCGCTCATTTTATATGTACGAATCTCATATTACTCTCATTTCTAAGGGCCATGGCACACAAACGAACTTAAGCAGTAAGACATAAGCAGCAAGCAAATCGACCAATCACAATCGAAACTTAAGGGCGCCGTTTTAAAACTTAGCAGAATAATTGATTGTGATTGGTCAGTTTCTTCACCGCTTAAGTATTTTTATGTGCCATCCGCTTAAAAGATTGCAAGATATGTCTATATTAAGTTCGTCGAAAAGCACACACATGACTCGACTTTTAACAAATTACGTTACATACGTATAATACAAGCAACAATGTTGACAATGTCCTGTTGCCAAAACGTTGGCGAAGGACATCGATAGCGATTACTTGATTGATGAATAATTCCTTCGATGCGATCACGTCAAATTCGTAACGCAGGAATTGAACTAAACTTTTTGACCGATTCGGTGTGTATATATATATATATATATATATATTATAATAATATTAATTACACTCGCTTATTTAATGCGATAATTTGTTATTGGATAACTCGTTGCTTTATGCAACGAGCATAAAAACACGAGCGCATTCCTTCGTGCTGCATAATTATTTTATTACCGTATATCGTGTGCCACCGCTTCGTTATGAAAAATAAAGAAAAAATTTGCACGACAACTCGCACGATAGCTCGCGTTTACGATCTGTGCAAATGCGCACTTTCTACTTGCCTTTCCATATTTCTATGAACATCGTCGTAAAATCATAACCCGTTCAAAGTGTCGTCCGTAATCCGCCAGAGAAACCGGCTTTCCCGCATTTTTCCGCGAATCAATCGAGGCACCCGGCACGTAAAGTCGATCTGTGTGTCTCTCTGTATCGCTTCCGGCGCAATTTATAAGAAATTGTGACTTCGTTACCGTACGATTCTTGCTCGCTGGAACAGTTTAACGTTCGATGTATAAGTTACGAGTGCGCCGTTAAATTTAAGGGGACACTCGCGCGCCGTACAGATGCTCGTACGGATGACAAGTTTTCGACTTTATAAAATGTTCGAGCTGTTAAAACGTAAGACCGCTGCGTCTCATAAATTCCTTTGATCGAGGCAAGATCCGAGCTGATGTCGAGATCTTGTCTTATTAGCCGAATAAAATTGTCAAGCTAAACGAAATTATCGTATCTCTGGCTTAGATCGAAAGAGATCTAGCAGCTTCAGCCCGTGATTTTTTATCTTGTCTTAGCGACAATTTACAGCCGAACAGAACAGCCACATCCGCAAACACGCCGTCGTTAAAACCAAATCTTTGTTTCACGAGTTTTATTACCTTCACACACATGAGTCATCTTGTGAATTTAGATCGCTGAGAGGTGGGTACACTGCTTCTTTTTATCTTTCGATTAGATCCACTATCGGCTTAATTCTCTTCATCATTGATTAGTCATGGTTATCGTGAGACCGTCGATTAAAAGCCGTAATTGCCTCAATTGTCAATTAACCGCGGGATCATTTCACGTATGCTCTTTTCTTTCACTTTGACCGGATTGTATTTCTTGTTACAAAGGACAGAGATCCTTTGTAACATTATTTTTCTCTTGTTCGTGTGGAACGCTACTACAAATCATTCGAATTAACAGATAAATACGCATGTTTTCTTTATTTGCGCGCGCTCTGTTTCTTTTTTTTCTTTTTCTTTTTTTTTCCCTTTTCGATGCTCAAACTGATACGATACACGGTTTCAATCAGGCGTTCCTCGTAATGTTTCGTGCCTTCTACTTTACAATATTTGACTTCTTTCGCCACTTCTTTTCTCCGGGCGTTTTAATACAGAATGTTCTTATAAATCTTTCAAGTAAGGATGTACTTTTAAATCGCGAATAATTTATTTTATGTCACCCGGTGTCGATCTCGAAATTTCTGGCCCTACATCGTGGTGCGGTTTATCACGATACTTCTCTCCGACGATACGGAAATGATGGTTGGCCAACGTTCACGTGTAACACGTGAAATTATCTGCTTCCGCGGCGAAACATACGTATTCGGATAGTACAACAATGGCGCTCGACGCGATGTTAGTCGAAGATTTGCATGTCAATTGCTTTTTTGTCCCCTATGGCGGAAGTGTCGCAGCGACGGGAAAAAAGCCGGATAACGGCTCCACTTATGGCCAACAGGAGTGACAAACGAGCAGACGAATGTGGAATTCAATTGCAAAAAGTTTTCGTCGATTCGTTTACGCGAAATAATGATAATCCTACAGTCCGACCTTCACTTATCGCAGAGATTCTCCTCTTCTATCTTATCATCTATCTTGCTATCGCATTATACACTGTTATTTAATCCTGAAAACTCCCCGCTACATAGGATAGCACGATAAAAGAATCGTATACGAAAAGCTGATTCATCAATCGCCTGCAAGCTCGATAAGAGTTTCAATTTTTAATCAGCCCAACAAATCCTTCCTACTGCAGATTCATTGTAAACAGCCGGGGACATAGGAACGAGATATAAAAGTGATCCGTATAAGAAATACAACGAAATCAGTCAGGCTTTCGCGCATCCACGATTCACGACGTAATTCACTGTCGCTGATTATCAAAGAGACAAAGTCCGAGTGAAAGGATGTTAAGTAACGGGACCGAAAGCTTTTATCCAAAGTTGATCCGCTCGGAACAAAATATTGCTGATCTAAAATCAGCAGTCTCGATATTAATAACACGATATGCATTATGTAATCGTCGTAATTTCGCGGAAGTGCCATGACGTCAGGCTAGGTGTGGGTAACCATGGCTGCGCGCGACGCATTTTATAACTCCCGCTGCTGCATCATTGACTTCTCCTAAACTCCTCAAGTCGATTCTCCGATCGCGACTCTCGCGCCGCGCATACTGACGCGGCATGTCCGGCGACTTTACCGTTTCGAGCCCCTTATTTGTCATTTGCGTCGCGAGGGCTCGGCACGACAGCACTATGCTATGCGTATCCTTTTATTTATCGCGCGCTGTGCGATATATTACACGCTGCCGTCGGGAAGCCGCGGAAACTCCGGCCGTAAGGAAGATCGAAACGTCGCGCCCTTGCAAGCCTTACGTCGGCGGTCTTGCACGGCTCCTACCGCCTCGTCGGCCTCGCTCGTTTGTCCTTTGCACGATCAATTTAACGAAAATTGCGCGTCGGTTCGCGAAACATGTTCACGTCGACACACCTTGATCAGTATTCAAGCGCGTTCTACGTCTCGCGCTCGCGATTCGCACGCGTCGCAAATACGATGACAGATCAGCTGATGCTCGATTTCGTCCAAATCCACAACTGCGGACAGTTTCTCTCCGGTGGAAATTCCATGATGTGAAATTCGAATTTTGTTTTTTTTTTTTTTTTTTTTTTTTTTACGTAATAATAAGATCTTTTTATTTCTTCTTAAGGAATTTGATAATTTTTTACGAATCGGAGTTTAACAGGGAAAACAAATATTCGCGCCAAATTTCTTGCCAATTTTCGAAAGACGTCGACGTCTTCTGGGTGAAATGAAACGCCCGGGTCAAACGATTCCCAAATCGAATATAATTGTTAAAACGATTACAAATCGACTGGAAAACAGGATTCCGCGATGTGCGACAAACATTCCCGCTCGGACAAACCACAACGGCCTCCGCGCGGACACCTACACTCGAAATTCTAATGCTCATTCTCGCGCGACGTTAAGATAATGCCGCGCACACTTGCGCGGCGCAGCTCTGACAAATGCAAATCCATTACACACGCACGAGAGCGCGCCGATGTTCATCATCGTCGAGCACGTCGCCGTCGCACAATTAGAAGATGCATCACCCCGTCGCCACGAAAATGGTGGCCGCCGCGTGGGCACTTTTCCGAGCTTTCCCGGCGCTCGATGACGGCTCGATAAAATCACGCGCGCAACGATTGCGCGTGGAAGTGATTTCACGGTCGCTGTTATATCGCACAGGGTTACTGCGGAGTCCGAGTCGGGGAAACAGACGCGAATGAATCGAGAGTGTGCTCCTCGTTCTCTCGAGGCGGGGAATTCGCGGGTGCGCGCTTCGATAGACGCAAAACGACCGCGAGCGACACTCGCGCAGCCATGGCAGTGTAACACGACACTCGTGTTTGCGCGCGCGTGTCGCTTTTGCAAAAGGGCATATGTATACCCTTTGTTGAGCTGCGAAATAGCTATTTACCTGCCGTCGTCAAGGTGAGCCGGAATCGGTCACCGCGCCTTCGCGTAGGTGCCTCACGGAGAGGCCGGGTAACTCGATAACCCGCAGATACGCTCGCGCGTTTTCCCGCCGAGAATACGTGACTCCCGGCAGCTGTGTCGCTGTACGAAAGTTGCATTCCGCGCGATTGAATTTTCATGATCGCAGCGTCGCTTCGTGACGATCCCGAGTAAACACCGCGCATCGGTCTTCCTGATGTGAAACGTGACGTACTTATAAGAGAGATCGAGCCGCGATGTGTTGAGCAAAGGCACGCACCGCGCGTCTTTGCGTGTGTGGGTGTGTGTGTGTGTGTGTGTGTGTAAAGTTTTGGTTGATACTCACAAACCTCGTATATTCACGTGGAGAGCGATTTGAGCTGAGGATCTCAGCTGTGTTGGTTTCGGCAATACAGCGATAACTCGCATGCTTTTTCGTCTCTGACACTCGTTAAATAACAAATCTGACTGTTCAACTTGAACATTCTATTGTATCGCGATTTTGATCTGTGGAGATTATATCTCGCGCGGCCCGCGTATTGCGTCCGGCGAGAGAACTAAAGACCCTAGATTGATTTGAGTTTGAGGCACACTCAAAACGCACAGATATGCTATCTTGCAAATAAAATAGGAAAATTGTGATATTAATTCGTGATATTAAATAAATGTTTTTATTGATATCTTTTGGGCCTTGTTAACGTAAGATCTCATCGCAGCGCTTCTACTATTACATTACTGTACTATAGTTTGCTGCTGAACGGTCGAATTATCCTTTCTGATAGCGAGAAGTGATACGTGCTGTCACAAATGTTTTCAAGTTTACAGCAGTTTAAAAACAATGTTATGGCAGTGTGGTAAACAAAATCGCTCTTGCAATCCATTACTGGAGGATTGTAACAATGTTTGAAGTATTGTTTAATCTTTGATAACAACGCACCTGTTGAGTGATACAATGATGTTCGCGTTATATCACTTAACTCGGTTTCATCTCCCAGTTAACCATGCTGCTGAAGAAAAGTTGGAAATTGCATCTAACATGGCGTATAAGAGTATAAATCTGTCGTCAGCAGTGCAACGAATGATCGACGTTACAAGGGCAGCATTGTCAAACCCGACAACAATTATTTGCAGGTTAAATTACACTTAATGTGTAAATACGTAAATTGTGAAAGTTGCACTATGTACACTTCTTTAACGCCATTTCGGCCAATCCATCCAAATTTTTATACTTATATCGAGTCTCATGGATCGCGGTACTTTATACCTTGATCCAGGGACTTTAGAGAGAACGCAATTGCAGCTCCATCTTGTCGATCGCGCGGAGGAACACGTATCCGTTCGCCAGATACTATACCCAAGCCAGCGTGCATTATCTCGCCTCGTTGATCGAGAATAGATGGCGTTAGCCAATCATCCCGGTGAATAACAATGCTTTCAAATGAGTCCCGGATATTTGACCGACGTATTCCCTTGGTTTGCGACAAAAATACGCGAACTTCGAGATGTGAAAAGAAAAAATCTCACTTCACATCGCCAGCAAAAATTGCCTTGATTCAAAAAATTCCACTCTCGATTTTTATCCCGTTCCCTTTGCCGGAAACAAGTCGTATTGCATATTACGGATTTAATGTTGCTTCCTTGCTCGTCTGTCACAGTGTTTTGATTTACCATTCAAACGATGACGGTATCACAGTTCGTTTAGAATGTGCTAACCAGAGAACAATCTTGAAAGGTACGCGTTGCGCGCGCGCGCGCGAGCTACCATCTGCCTGGACAGAGAGCGGGTGAGTGAGTCATTTTCCATTCTAGTTCCAGTAACGATCCGCGATACAAATGTTTTTTCTCCTCGCGTTCCTCACACGGAGACGAGGAGTCAGTCGGCCACGGCCGACCAAAACCGTACCGTGTGCGCTTTGCCAGAGAACCACTTCTTCCGTACCCCGCAGTCGTTCCCGTTCTGGTAGAATCGCCGATTACATTACTTTGTTCCGCCGTGACGCACTTTACACGCGCATACCAAACATCGCATGCATTTTACATCGAATTGCTCGATTGATTCTTCTCTGCTATCTCTCTCCGTACTATCTACCTCCATCCGCTTGACCTCGCTCCAAAGGTCGCTGAAATGTTTCCAAAGAAAAGCTCTACTATTGTTTGCTCGCCACTCGAGCGATTACAAGAGCTGACCCGAGCTCCGAGAGGTCATCTCGGTAACCCTCTAAGGATCAGATAAAAAGTCCATACGATACAGAATACACACAATGCTCAGCGAATGCGTGCGAGCGCGCACGCTGCTCCTCGTGAAGAAGAAAACCGCGCGGCGTTTCCTCGGCGAGGAGGTCGCGCCGCGGGTTGCTCCGCTGTGCGTCACACAGCGAGCATCATCGTTTGTCACGCTGGCGAACCGGCTCCCATATAATCGCGACGCGCCGTTTCGCACGCGCGACCTGATTCCGCGGCGCGTCAGGGTCACATCGATGTGCTCGCCCTGGCAGTTTTGCGCGACAAACCCATAAGGTTTGACCTAATATGGACACTTCGCCTTTACGAATGGCACCGGCGCCTGGTGGGGATCCGCTACCTCGAGAGAACTCCTCTCGAGGTAGCGCGTCTCTCACGTTCCGCGGTACCCCAGTACCTCATCGGACGTGTGTTACGACGCACACGCGTTCTCACACAGTCAGGATCTCGCGCGCGCGCGCGCGCGCGCGGGCGCGCGTGCTCCCACCAGCAGCAGCAGCAGCGTGGCATGCTGTCGTGCAGCATGCCGGTCGCTCAACGAGCCGCGAAGGAAGACCAAAATCCCGCGACGTCTTCTGCACTTGGCGATACATCGAGGCGAGTGAGCGTCGGGAGTGTCGTCGAGTCGACCGAACACTGATCAATTGCGGAATTGTAACACCTGTGCCGACCTGTGCACCCGTAAGACCCGCGTGATTCGTCGGACGACTTCAGACACCGGGGACTTCCCGTGAGAGATCACGGCAAGCAAGCCTACGTCGTCGACGTAAACCCTACGTCCGCTGAGGACGGGAGGATCTCCCAACGCGAGCGATCGTCGACTCCGGCTGAAATAACAACGGCGGATTCACGTTCGAAGTCGAGCGCGAATTGGACACGAGGTTCGTTTAGCCAGAGGTAAAAACGAGGACAATCGCGCGGGAGGCCTCGGGATAACATTCCGAAGCCGAATACCGGTGATTATCATTGCGGTACAACGCAGCGAGCGCTATCGCATTACGTTCGAATGCACGCTTGATTCAACATTCGGATCAACACGAAGTGTCTCTCGTGTGGAGTTGTCGCAGGCTGGTGTGGGAGGCTTCAGCTGATCAGCACCCTGGTAGCCGTGACAGTCACCGGGCACCGAGAGACAATCCTACGAACGAATTCCTAGACATAGGCTGGCGTCTGGCTGGACGATTATGCGGTGTACAAACGAAGCGTCGAAGCCGTGTACCCGCAAGGTCGAATGCTAGACGCTCCGTCGAGAGAAGGTCCACGAGCCTCCGGCGAGAGAAAGAGAAAGAGAGGGACGGAGGGAGAGGGAGAGGGAGAGGGAGAGGGAGAGCGAGAGTCTCTGAGCGATCTCGCGGCGCGAGAACGAATTCTCTCCTCGCGCGTATCACGACAACAACGCGATGTCGACATCGGCGCATCAGCAGGCGGCCATACGCCGCCTCGAGGCCCTCTTCAGGGACGTGAAGCTGGAGCAGCTGCAGCACAATCATCCCGAGCTGATCAAGCACGAGATCAAAATCGACAAATGCTGCGAGATCCACGGCAGACACGCGAAGGAGAACTGCTGGAGTCGCAGAGGTTCCCTCGGTAACGTGCACCAAACCAGGAAAGATTCCCTCGGGCGCCACCACGAGCCTCACCGCGTCTACAGTGCCACGTCGCCCAACGGAAGAGGCTCCCTGGGCCCGTCATCCTCGAGGAAAGAGCTGCACCCTTCGACCTTCCCCAGCACCCTGCGGAAGAATCCTTTGGGCTCGTCCATGAGCGCCATCAATCACACCAAGAGGGGAGACACGTTCCCCAACACCATCGGCGGATCGGCCCTGCGAAGAGACCCCATCGGTCGCTCGATGGGTTGCCTGAGGAAAGACACCATGTCGAATTACAACTCCCCGCTGAGGCGGGATTACGTGGCAAAGTCGATGACGAATCTCCAGCGACCGGCGACGACGAGGCGCGATGCCGCTCCGAATTTGGCAAGCTTGTTCACCAGCCCCGCAGACGCCAGCCGGGCGAGTCTGAGGGCCGGCCTGAGCTCGTCGAAGCCCGGCGAGCTCAAGGCGCGCAGCTGCTCCAACGGGAACCTGAAGAGCTGCCTCGCCGGCTCCAGCGGCAACCTGCGCGGCAATCTGAACGTGACCTTGAGCGGCGGGCCAACATCGGCGAGCGCGATCATGAAGAAGGACTGCAAATCCGCGATTCCTCCCGCCGGTAGGAAGGGCTCGGCGTACGACCGGCGGAGACTCTCCACGGATTCCCTGGAGAATCTGAAGAGAAACTCATGGGATCCGGATCGAAGGGGCTCCTCCGGCTCCTCGGGCGGATGGGACGATCCGATCTGGGAGGAAGGAAGCTTCGACAACGGAGCCGATCAGGTAATGGAGTCTTGTTTACCCGCCCGGAGGGAGTTGGCGTGAAAGGCCCGATGATGCCACCGGCGATAAGTGGAAGAGCTGAGTAAGCCTCGTGCGATCATGTCGCACTTTAATGACGCGCGCGCGCGGTCACAGCAGCGCGAGTCGTATGGATTACGACGAGGATCGAGCGGCGAACGTCGCTGCGATCATCCGCGCGACCAGGTTAACGAGTCCAGGTTCTTCCGCTTTTTTACCGACCGTCGCAGGAAACGTCGATGTCTGCCTGCGTAAACGTCGTGGCGTTCACACGCGCGCGCATTGTGTCGGTTTCCCACGAGTGACAAGGGGAAAATATGTCAGTCCCCGCCGCGCCGGAGAGAGAGAGAGAGAGAGAGAGAGAGAAACCCAGCCGGGCCGGATTGTGTCGCGCGCGAGAGCGGGTAAAAATTGATCGGTCCTTGTTAGGCGATCATCCTGCACACGAGAGCTGCGGACTCCGCTGACTCTGCTGACGCGTGAGAAACCTCGGGGGGCCCGTTAATGCGCACGCTAAATATTAGCTATGCGGTCGGATGTGAAACGTACGTATCCGCGGAACAGTTACGCGCGGTAACTCGCTCTCCGACGCGACGAGAGCGGAGCCGAGCGGTTGAAAACCTGTCGAATCTTGCGGACTAATCCTTTGCGGCGCAGGATACGGCGAAACCGGTGTGTGGTGCAGCTTAAATCGCGCGCGACGCTGCACGCTACGAAGAAACCCTGCGCGGAGTCGGAACTATATCGCGATCTAGCGGAAAGTCGAAGATCGAGATCGCTAAGAGAGCGTATTTATTTATTTATTCAGAAACGGGATAATCCTCACTCGGCGCAAACGAACGGAAGAGAATGAAGATGAGAGATAGAAACAGCGGAATGAAAAAAAAAAGCAGAACGATTATACGCAGCCAGCGGCGAACTTGTAACGAACAAGTTAACCGGTAACGTAGAGGAAAGATAAAATTTACAATCGTAGGGCATGTTATTTATATGCGACTCGTAAATTGTTATTCTTGCATATTTACCACACGATGTTCCGAATCCACTTTCGCGTCATTCCTTCGACGTGTGTGTACCTTCGACTCGGAGACCACACATATTGCGTTTTGTATATTAATAACTCCACTTGTCTCCAAGAACACATTTTTGAGCCGATTGATGTTTATTTGCGGATTGATCGATCGGTGATTTCGAGTCTTATCGATCGCGTCGATAAGAAGTTAATTCTACGTACGCACGTTTGGGGCACGGAAAGGGGAGGGGGGGTGGAGGGAGCGAACAATTCTGGTACGCGCTTACGTCAGCGGCGTGCCTTGCATGGTATGAGAGTGTCGCGCGGTTAGTCATCGAAACGTTACGATAGCGTTTCGCTGACAAATAGGGAAAATACGTGTTTCATCCGACCGGGGTTCGGCCGATCGTGGGTTCCACTCGCGAGGATCGTCGTGTTAATTACATATTGTCGCTTGATAATTATCGTCGAACGATCGTCGTCTCACACGGGTACAGCTAAAATTGGCACGCTGCGCAAATATTTACCGCACTCTGCTTGTTGTTGCGGACACAACGAGGATAAGCCGATAATGTGTCGGAGCTGAAACTCGTTCGTTTCGCCTTTGTTCAACGAGCACGGGCTTCTGCATCGTTACGGTATCACACCCAAAAAAAAAAAAGTAATTTCAGAACAAGCGGAATCATCTCAATTTTAGAGGATTCTATTCTTATATATGGCCTCAAGAGGATTCCTCCAAGATTAAGAGGAAAGTATTACAAACAGATTATTCTTGAAGTTGGAGGGATTAGATGTTGTATGTATAATGCAAATCTTATTGATTTTAATAGAAATTTTCTCTTGTACACAGATTACTTAATTTGTTTTAAAAGGGTTATTATTTATTCTTACTGTACTTTATTCTTACTGGTTATATTAATTAATTAATTTGTAAAAATCATGATAATGTATAGCGAAAAGTAATATATGTATATATATATATATATATATATATAGATATATATTTCGGCTCCAGTTCTGCAACAAGTAGGCACGAATAAAATAAAATTATCGTAACAAGTAAATTTCTAAGAAGTTTTATTACGAACTTCATAGCTACAAAGATGTTCATCATAACCAACTGTATGAAACGCAGTTGAAGAAAGAATATATTATTCAACTTCTTGTAATAGATTGTGTAAACGGGTGTTTTTCATATGAGAAGAAAATTAATTAATTACAAGAGGAAATCCTCCTGAAATAAGAGAGAAACAGTTGGAATAATATCTAATAAATTTTTAACGAATGGTTCGCTTTATCGAAGAAAGAGGAGGAATATCTTTTTTTCTGCAAAAGGCTTCGCTTAGAATATGAGACTGTGGGAAAAATCACTTCGCAAATAGAATACTTTGTTCTGGGTACGCTCGACTCGTTCGTCCCGTAGCCCAGGTATTTCGCGCATTTCCTGAAACGTGTTGCCCGCAGGTGTAACCTGACACGCACCTACGCGCGGCTCTCGGCCCTGAGCGGTAGCCTACGCTCGCTCCGGCCAGGTTCATAATTCACATTTTTGCCGGACTCCCCCTGCCTCCCCCCGTCCATCGATCAACGCACAGTTTTTCTGTGTAAACGGAAATCACGCATGCATACGCATGCGTGATCCACGTCGGCGCGCTCGATATGGTCGCTTCCGAACGCGAGAGTTTAAAAGTGGCTTATTGCATCATTAAACTAATTCAATTTACATAACGGATGCTGCAATCGACATTTTGCTCCTTTCAATGATCACTCGAGAGACTCGCGCGATACCCGGACTTCTCCCTTTTTACTGGCGGATCGTTCGACAGAGAGAGAGAGAGAGAGAGAGAGAGAGAGAGACGCGAATCAACGAGCGTTTTTTAAACAATATACATACAGTCTCGAGAGGATAAATATATATCCTCCAATTATATTTACTCTCCCGCGTGTTTTTTGTGATATTGCAAAAACCGGCCAAATACATTCAATTGGCGTTATCGCTACACGATATGAATTCCATCGCACATTTCTACTTCACGGTGGTCGCGTTGAAAAATTTCATTTAGCCAATGTTTGCTTTTTCATCGTTTTCGCGTCGTTGTTGTGATTTGTCGTAAAATAACTGCGCTATTTATAGCGACAAAATCGAAGACGAAAAAAAAGAAAGAAAACTCGAGGGAGAACCGTATTCCACTTTTCCGATATTTCTCTTTAATGTTAGCCAAAGATGTTACATGTTAGCGTATCAAGTTTGTGAAGAAAATACCGGCGAGGAGAGAGAGCGAGAGAGCGAGAGAGAGAGAGCGAGAGAGAAAGAGAGAGAGAGAGAGAGAGAGAGGGGGAGGGAGGGAGAGAAAGAGGAGGACGTAGAGTCAAGTCGCTCGACGCGTGTTTTCTTTTTTTTTTTCGTTTTTTTCGGATACCACAGAGTAGTTTATTCCACGCGGGGTGCCGAAATTCCTCCGCTCGGCCTGCGTCGCACGTGTTCCGCGAGCACGATATGCTTTACCTACCTACACGCGACTTTACGGTCGGTGAGCACGCGCGATTTTCCGCGTGTCACACGGCTCCGGAACCGTTCCGTCTCACGGTACGACATCCGAGATGATTGACCGATCGCCGGCGGTACCGTTATAAAAAATTGACGTTCATTGGCACACAAACCGGCCAAAATTGACCCGCGGCGGGTAATGCGCTTCGCGTGTCACTGCGTGTCATCCTCGCGATATCGCAAGAGTTTTCCTTTCGCGCTTGAGGCGAACATTCAAGTGGGCCGTAATAATGAGCGTAACGGTCGCGCGGACTTTACAAAAAGCGACGATAATTGATAACGATGATATTCTCGACGGTTTCTTTCATCATCGATTCGTCGAATTATCAGGTGCAAAGAAGTACTTGTTACATCCACGAATTTTCTTTAAACGTCTCGCGTTTACAGGACCGCTACCTGTTGAAAAAGAAACTGCAGAAGCAAAATATGGAGACCGATACGGAGTGATTTGGAAAATCTAAGCCCGCTTTATTTCGTTGGGCAAATTGCTCGCTTGCTTATTAATCCTTGACCGGACTGACTCGCGGTTATTCAAATCGAGGAGGTCTGCGGGATTCCCGGCAATTTTTCAGGCTATTCATTCGGGTGTCTATAAAGAAATTGAAAGTTGTCTTCCCGCCCGGCTTCGGAGGACTGTGCGTGTTCTCGTGCTCTCCGAGATTGAAGATCCATGTTCTGTCCCACTCGGTTCAAATAGGTAGAGGACTATTCACGGTTATACAGTTAGCCACCGGTCGGTCAGTCGGTCGACTTGCGTGTTAATTCGTCGCGAGTTCCTAAAACTCTCCGTAGGACGCGACTATCGTCCTAGTCACGCGGACTTTACCGTTTTTTGAGAAAAAATTGATCCTTGAATTGATCTGCTGTGGAAAAATCACGTCGCCTATGAGACTCTCGCGGACGCAGGTAGTGACGATTTTCTGGAATTCTTGGTGAGACTGACTCAACTGAAACTGAAATCTCTGTATATCCTTTCTTGAGGAATAGCTGGTTAAAAAAGAACATAATCGTCGAAAAAGCGATGAGTGGTTTGATACTTCAGTGAGAATGATTTTAAGAAAGATCGTGTTTCATAATGTTGTTGAAAAATTGCAGCATCACTTCGCACACAACTTTTTCTTCCGAAAGCGCCTTTGACATTTATCTTAGCGCGATGTTCTTTCCACTATTGGCTAACTGAATAACGCGATTAAGACCACGGACAAACGAGGGTCCACCAAACGCTCGTTTAAACTCGCGCGATAATCGGCGCCGCTAATAAAGTAGACGAAAAAGGTTTCTGCGTGGTTGGCGAGCGGCGCCTGCTGCGCTCCCGACGAACAATAAAGCAATTTATCGCGGTCCGTTAGTATGCAAATTATGCCCGCCGAATTCTCGCCCACTTATTACGCTCTGAAATCAAATTTCAGTTCGCGTTAATGGAATGGCGTCGTTGAAAGTTTTTAACGATTTTTCGGATATCATCGAGTCCCCCGATAATTTATATCCCAAGGCGTTCCACCTAAATTGCGCGCGAAGAAACACAAGTACTTTAAACATGCAAAAATATACTCGACAAATTTGTGTCTTTGCCTTTGAACGTAGGAATGTACACTTCATAATTCGAAAGATAAACTATAGGATGGATAATTTTTTCACAGAGCCGATAAATAATCTCGCGCACGAGATTATCTGTCACAAAATGCAAAATCCCGAGTTCGCGTTCTTCGGCAGTCTTCAATGAGACTTTTCGAAACACAACGCAGGTGGTAGACTCGCTCGACGCGAAGTGTTTGCTAATTTGGTGAAAGTCGTCTGTATGTGAGCGACCATCTTCGCACGCGTGCATTTTTGCGAAATCGAGCGTTTCCTACATTTGAATTTTGCCGTAACGGCGAGCTACGCGAGGTCTGTCACGGTCATGGTGCGCGACGAAGACTTCTTTTCGCCAAATACGACAGGCGTGTCTAATCACAGCTTCGCTGTGATTAGACACGCCGACGATAAGACGCGTTCGATTGGTCGGAGCAAACACGCCTGTCTATTTCGCGCGGAAATCGCGGAATGCGCTCTCGTTACACGTTACCTTCGGTAATTACGTCGGTCTTCGCGTTATCGGTCGGTAATTACCGCAACGTCACGTTTCCGCCATGAGCTTTGTGTAACGTTAGAACCTCCGGCGAATTATACCGATGTATTTATACGACTGGGGCGTCCATTAAGTTAGCGTTAATAGCAGCGGCTACGCGGTGCTCCGCTATTCAGCGGAACAAACATGTTTTTACAACCGACCGCTGTTTCTTCTGTAAAGTTGTATGTAGATGCAGATTATCCTCTTTCGTCATCGGTA